CTATCTATCTATCTATCTATCTATATCTCACTCAATGCCATGTCTTAAAACCTAACCTATGCCCTTGCATGTAAAATAAACCCGAGGAAAAAAATAAAGACCCTGAAACCTTTCTGGATTCTGCCAGCCTGTAGATACCCATGTAATATGAAGACTCTGGTACCTAGCAGCCCTGGCTTGGTCCAAGGAAGAGAGGACAAATACTAAGCATGTGAACTTTGGGTCTAAAACACTCTGCTATGGTCTTTTCATTCCATTTCACTTTCTGGAAGTAAAACATAAAAGAAGCAGGATCCAGAGGCAAGTAAACTCTGCCATAAGCTGGCCACTCCTTGCTTCTTCATTCACAGACGACAGAGTTTGAACTGAAATGAACTCCTGTCCTGTGTTTCCTCTGCCATGATAAAACAGCATGACCAAAAGCAAGTCAGGGAGGGACGGGTTTTTTCTGTTAGAGTTCCACATCACAGTCCATCATCAAAGAGAAGTCAGGGGCAGGAACTCAATGAAGAGACCTGGAGGCAGGAGCTGAAGCGTTGGCCATGGAGGGGCGCTGCTTACTGGCTTGCTCAGCCTGCTTTCTTCCATATGCCAGGAAAACCTGCCCAGGGGGGCATCACCCACAGTGGGCTGGGCCCTCCTACATCAACCAACAATTAAGAAATGCACTACAGCCTGCTTGCAGGCCCTCCTTATGGAGGCATTTTCTCAGTGAGAATCCCACTTCCCAAATGGCTCTAGAATTGTCCAGCTGACATAAAACTAGCCAGTACGCCCCAAAGGCTGGTGTTTTGAATGCTTGTTCCCCACTTGGTGGCGCTGTCTTGGGCGACTGTGGAAGTAGGGTCCCTCGGGGAGGAGAATAGTCCAGCTTTAGGTTCTGGCCTTGATCTCTGCTTCCCGACCTGCCCAGTGAACCGTCTCTGTCACCCTGACTGGCCACCACAGACTGACCCATTCCACCATGCTCCCCATACTGATGGAAAGAAAGCCTCCACACGGTGAGCCAGAGCAAACCTCTCCACGCTGAGGCTTTCTGTCTGGCATTCGGTCACAACACTAACGACGCTAATACAAGAAACGTCACTTAAACAGAGTGTGGCGGCGCGCGCCTTTAGTCCAAGACTCAAGAGGCAGAGGTAGGCAGATCTCTATGAGTTCCAGGACAGCCTGGTCTACATAGCAAGATCCAGCTCAGCTGGAGATACATAGTGGGATCTTGTCTCAAAACACAAAACAAACAAAAGCAGAGAGAGGGGACAGAGAGAAAATTTACTTAAAAGACTGAATTCCCTCTTTTTTTTTTTTTCTTCCAGATTTCTGCTCTCAGCCTCGACAGCAACCAGGAATAATTACTTCCCTAATGGATAAGAGAAACCCTTTCATCTTTTGAATCACCCTTGGCACGAGGTGCAGATGGTCATCCACACACTTGGTACACAACTGTCTAGCAGTCACTTCTCTTGAGGCTCCTTCGACTGTGGATGTGACATCTTAGGCTTTGTTATTGCCATGCAGGGTGTGCCTGTCCAAGTGGTCCTGGGACTTTTCCAACTCACTGGTCACTGCTGTGGAATAATCCTCTTTTACACTATAAAGATTTGTCACTCGAATTGGTTTAATAAAATGCTGATGATTGGCCAGTAGCCAGGCAGGAAGTATAGGTGGGGCAGCCAAACTAAGAATGATGGGAAGGAGAAGGGCAGAGTTGGAGTTGCCAGCCAGACACAGAGGAAGCAAGATGAGAATGTCGTACTGAGAACAGGTACCAAGCCATGTGGTTAAACATAAATAAAAATTATGGGTTAACTTAAGTGCAAGAGCTAGTTAGTAATAAGTCTGAGCTACTGGCCCAACATTTACAATACTATAAGCCTCAGAGTGATTATTTGGAAGCATCTGCAGGTTGGGCAGGACAGAGAAAAGCTTCATTTATATATGGTGCCCACTGTCTGGTGTGGATTCACATAAGACCTGAGGAAGCTTTAAAAAGGTTCTGAATGCACAGAAACAGAGCCACACTGGGTTCCTAGTCTCACAGTCTCACATCAGCAGCAGTGCAGAGATATGTCTCCCAACAGCTGCCTGAGAGATGGAGACCCTGAATTTTCTGGATGTTCTAACTCTCCAAACACTCCACTGTGGAGCCCACTACCTCCTGCACCCAAAGCCCCCGAAGCTTCCTTGTGGACTCTGCCCCATACCACTGTCTGACACAAGAGCTTGATGTTTATCGTGTCCTTGCTCCCATGCCGCTGGGTCTGGTTTCCTGCTGCTCGATTCTTCATCTTATAATCTGTCCATTTTCTCTGCCTCTTCGTTTGTGAATTTCAATCTTGCATGTTTTCTTAAAATTGACCCGTTTTTCTGTATATACCAAATGTATTATTACTACATATTGTGGAGATCTATTGTGTACCCTAATAAAGCTTGCCTGAGGATCAGAGGACAAAGCCAGCCACTAGATTAGACATAGAGGTCAGGCTGAGATCTGTCAGAGGAGGCAGTAGTGGCACACACCTTGAACCCCACAAGTGACATGGCTGGGCAGAGAACAGTATATAGGGCATGAGGAGACAGAAACTAAGGTAATTCAGCTGAGACCCTTTTGGGTGAGGACTCAGTCTGAGGAAACAGGATCGGCTGAGGAGTTGTCGAGGTGAGGTTGGCTGTGGCTTGCTCTGCTTCTCTGACCTTTCAGCTTTCACCCCAATATCTGGCTCCAGTTTTTTTTTTTATTATAAGACCATCTAAGATTCGAACATCATCATATAAATTCACATCTTTAACTTTGGTTAATGTTTTGACTCATACAGTCATGCTTCCAACCACTCATCTGCCCACTACCCATTCCATCCTCTTTCTCACTTGGCCAGTCTCTCACCATCTACCCAGGTCCCCAAGCTCAACCTTTAATCATATACCTATTATTTTCCTCCCCCCCCCCGCCACTCTCTCATACACCAGCCTAGTTATTCATCAATTTTTACATCCATCCATTCTCAATCCTTTTATCAACCCACAAGCCAAACTTCCAATCAAATAATCTCCATCAGCAGTCCTACCCATCCTACTCCTAACTATTATGTGTAGGATCTTAAATGTCCCCTAAAAGCTAGCATGCTGAAGGAAGCTTTGGTCACGTGACACTATTGGGAAGCCTTAGGAGATGGGAATCTAGTCGGAGGAATAAGTCTATTGGAAGCATTCCCTTTAGGGACATACTGATGCTATTGTTCCTTTCTTCCTGCTTCACAGCTGCCATGAAAAGGAAGTGGGCAGTGTAGGTCTACCACATTCCCCACCATGATAGTCTGTCTCCAGACAGGTCCAAATGAATGAATCCAAACAACTATAAACTGAAACAGTCAACATAAAATGTTCTTTTTTAAAAATAAATATCTTATTTAGAGTGTGTGTTTGTGCATGTGTGTGCACACATCCCACAGATACATGTGGGAGTCCAGAGGACAATATTCAAGAGTCAGTTCTTTCTTTTTACCATGTGGGTCCTGGGGATCAATTTCAGGTCATCAGGCCTAGCAGTGAGGACTTTTATACACTGAGCCATTTCACAAACCCAAATTTCCCTTCTCTTAAGTTGAGTATGTTAAATATTTTGTCACAGCAACAAAAAGCTGACCAACCTTATATTCTGTTCAATCTACTTCACTCAGCTTCTCATCCCACCAGCCATCCATAATCCATGCTCTCAGGCCTCCAAATACCTGAACGTTTCCCTCCCCTTTCTTTCTACTCATCCAACCTCCTCCCATCTATCACTCTACTGGACCCCACCCACCCATGTGTCAGCTTACATACCTACCAGTGGCCCTGCCTTCTGAACCTCCTCATGTTTTAAGGACCAGTTGCTGGACGTTGACCTGTTTCATGAATCTCAGAACCTATTTGGGAGAACAGATGTGCAAGTTAGCAACTCAGTTAGGTGCACTAGGAATGGTATAGGGAGTCATCCACACAACAGGTCTGTCTGGCTGCTGTCTGTCATGTGAAACAAGTTCAGGACAATGACCGACACAATATGTTAACAACCAGCCAAAGAAAGCAGCAGCTCTTTTTGTTAACTTTGCCCTATGCAGCGTGTCTCTGTCCCTGTTAACTCGGGTTGAACACTTGGTGCTACGGATTCATGCTGTCTGAGGCGGCTGCTCAGGTCTGCAGCCTTCTTTTTCTGACAGCACACTTTGAACCCAGAAGCTCTGCAGTGTTGTTGACCTTGATTCAGCTGTTGTCACTCAGATCTGTGACTTCATTTCAGTGTCTCCTCAGGCGACAGAGTTTGTGTCACACAGCGGAGGCCCCCTGTGGTCTGTAACATTCAACAACACTGTGGCAAACGCTATCAAAAGCCTCTGATATCAGCCTGATTCCCCCCAATGCCCTGCTCTCTGTGGCAACATCTTTACTCTTTGGCCTTAGTTAAAAAAAAAAAAAAAGGCCCAAAGAGACGATAAAGGAGAAAATGGTGGGAAGAAACTGGAGGAGAGGGAGAAGGGAACACAGAGACTGTTGTTAGACGCTGACATGAAGAGATACCAAGACAATAAACACTGTCAGAGACAAACAGAAGGGTGTGCTTATTGGTACGGATGCTTTAGAAAGGGGTAAATGAATGGGATAGAGGGCATTCCACATTAACTTTGAGTCACCCACACGAAGACCCAAGAGGGTGGCATTTACTCTTAATGTGGCATGGGACAGTATAGAGTACTCTTTGCTCAGTACTCTGGTTGACCAGAAGGCTAGCCCTATGTAGTCCAAGCAGCAAGGGCATAGTAAGATGTGAGCTTTCTCCATAGATGTGGGCTGTGAATGTCATTAGCTCCGCTTATGATCTCAGGAACTTGGTGTGCCCAGCAAGATAGTAGGTGACTGGCTTTTCTCCAGCTCTACGGCCAAGGTTGAGAGAATCAGCTGGGCTAAGGCAGCCAGACATTTCCTTGTTCTAGAACCACCAGCCAGTCTAGCCCCTCACCAGAATGAAGTTTTCTGGATTTGTGAGCATCCTCGTGTTATTTGGCCTGTTTGCAAATGTCCGGGGACCTAGTCTAACTGACTTTCTGTTTCCCAGTAAGTACTGGTTTTCTGCTTTTGTCTGGGAGAAAGGGAAGTTTGCTGGGAGGAAGAGACAAGGAACAATTCCTCAGGGTTAGGTTGCCTTTCTGTGTCTTCTCCCTGGATGTGGTTTGGGCGAGGAGGGAGACACTTAGAAGGTCTGATGTCCTTTGTGTTACTACAAGGACAAGGGTCTGGGGAAACACTCCTTGAAGTCTCTTTGAAGAACTATCTTCCTTGGGGAGGTGGAGAAGAATCATGGATCCAGCATTTATAGGAAGACCCCTCACCCCTCAAGAGAGGCAGACCCCTTTGTCGGGAGCTCTGGGGTCAGAGTTGGTGGGTTGAACACTGGTAGCCTGGTGATCTTGAGCAAAATATTTAAATTTCATGTAGCCTCTCTGAAACTTGATTCCGAAACCCAGCTGTGGCTGGGAGAGGAATCACTGTACAATGTCGCCCTCCAGAGGAAGTCACAAACAAGGCTACCGCAAGACTGACTATAGAGCAGCCTAAACCAGTGCTCTAGGCTTTCGATCCCAAAGAGGCCTTTCCAGTGTCTTGAGACAGTTCAGATTGTTACGATATGAAGGAGGTGCTGAGGATGTCTAGTGCCTAGAAGCTAAGGTTGCTGCTAAGGGTCCCACAAAGCACAAGACAGTTCCTATGGCCAACAGGTGATTATCCAGCCTAAGTGTCTCCAGTGACTGAAAACTGTTGTTCAGCGGCTGGGGGTAGACCAAGGATGGAGATAAGAAGGTAGAGAGTGGGGGGTGGCTGAAGAGCTTAGAGGACAGGGTAGTGTGGGAAACAGGAGTGAGGAAAAGGATTCCTTCAGGGTGAACAAACTTGAACACACGCTTCCCTTGACTCCCTAAACTGAAGGTCCCCAAGACTCAAAGACTGCTTCTTCCTTAGGGAGATGCCCCCGATTCAGAGAACACTGTGAACACAAAGAAATGAATCTGTGTACCAGAGACAGAGATTGCCAGGGAAAAGAGAAGTGCTGCCTCTTCAACTGTGGGAAGAAATGTTTAGACCCCCAACAAGGTAATATGAAAGCTTCGGAATACCACACGCCTTCGACCCATGTCTCCTCCCCTGCCCACCTGGGCTGCCATTGGCCTGGTTCACTGAGGGGTGCTGTTTAGGTGAGATTGCTGGATTTGGGATCCTGTGCTTTAGAGTTATTACAGCTCCTGAAAAGGTGTGTGGTAGTAATGTCCTTATCCTAGTGGGCAATATATGAGCCTCAGTTTCCCCCAAATAAATGACGAGTGCATGGGTGGGATTGAATCAGACTATTTCTTGACTGTTTTTCACCACCATGATTTTCTGAGTCCCCAAGTAGCCGTCGTCATCCTAACATATGTTCACATTGTCCGTGACAAGTAAGGTGATTTATCTTTCCTAGCTTTTCACTGCTGAGCAATTGCCTCTCTGCCCAGATGAATCTGACTTTGTATTAGGAAACCTGCCCTAACATTCCAGATCAGAGCTGCAATCTCAACTCCATCCCTGCCTCTCTGAACTCCCAAAAGGCTATCCGAGATTCTTCATTTATTTAGAAAGAGTTACTAAGTGTTCCTGATATCCACTTTTTAAGTTCATTTTGCGCTAATAAAATATATGAGAAGGTTAATTATGAAGGAAAAGGACTTATTTAGGTCAGTTTTTGAGGCTGGGACCTCACATCATGGGTAGGCACCAGCATGGACCCCATTGGAGATGATGGGTGGGAGGGGTCACATGATCACCAGAACCCAAGGGGGCTTAGGGTCCTACCATCCATTTTGGAGGACATGTTCCAGTTGATCTAGGAGTCTCCCAACAGATCTCATCTCTTGAAGGTACCACAACCTTGTGGACCAAGACTCCAAAACATGAGCCTTGAGGGGAACACACATGAACCATATCCAGACCACAGTGCCTGTACTAGCACCTAACCTGTTCACTGTGGTCAGGGCACCGTGAAGTCTCGAGGTAACCACCCTCAGAGCTGAGTTCAGAATAAAGGGTCAGAGTGGAAGGGAGGCTGGAAAGGCTCACCAGGGAGGGAATGGCTTGCTAAGACCTCAGTGGGGGATCCCAGGGAGGCAGAGAGTGAGGATGATGCCAGTCATTGGAAAAGGCCCTCAGTGTGCTCGGATCATATAGTCTGATGGGCCCGAAGAAAGACTCTCATCTTTTTTTTTTTTTTTTTGGTTTTTCGAGACAGGGTTTCTCTGTGTAGCTTTGCGCCTTTCCTGGAACTCACTTGGTAGCCCAGGCTGGCCTCGAACTCACAGAGATCCGCCTGCCTCTGCCTCCCAAGTGCTGGGATTAAAGGTGTGCGCCACCACCGCCCGGCGACTCTCATCTTAATCCTAAGAACCGTGGACTTGAAGACCTTTAGAAGCAGGCGATGAAATGACCCACATGTGTGACCCTCCAGAGCACGAGGGGGTATCTAGGGGGACTGAATGTATGAGAGGATTTCCAGGATAAGGGAAGTGATGGATTCACCTGGACATAGCTCAGTGAAGGAAGGAGTGAGTGGCACTTGAAAAGTATTGAGGAAAGTGGGATGTGACAGGACAACAGAGCTGGCAGACAAGGTGACATGTCAGGGGTCTGACTCCAGACTTCTTAAATTCGGATCTCAGGTCCGGTTTTTAGCATCTTATAACGAGAAGTCCAAGGGAGTCTGGTTAAGGGTATTAGGGAGTTTATTATGACATAAACTGGGGAGAACAACTCACTAAACAGGATAGGCGAAATCATCGCAGAATCCTGGAAGGGTGATGGCTAGTCCCATGCTGCTTCTGCTGCCTGAGTCAATCTACACCATGCAAGCCCATGAAGGAGAGAAGAGAGTGAGGAGTATGTGCCTCTTGGGTCTTAAGCTAGCCCCGAGGCCATGCGCTAGGGGCTGGTACCTCAAGGTCGTAGATGGAGCAGGTACCCGCTACGTCTTTTTAAAAATCTTGAACAAATTAACATTCTTTCTCTGTGCTTCCCCTTCTTCACATGACGAAAGGACATGAACAGCTCTGTTCACTCCCTTAGAGTGCTCAGAGCAAGGCCAGGCACAGGGCAGAGCCACCTGAGGCCCATTAGTTTAACTGGTCTGAGAACTGAACAAGGGTGATCAAGTGTCTTCTTAGTCTCTGAAAGCATTCAGCAAATGGTAAGTGCTCAGGGAATGAGTTATTCAGTTCATGTCAGGGTACGTCCTCCTTCTCCTTTAACACTCCATAAAGCTCTGTACTATGCCAGGCCACCTGCTAGACATCTGAACCCCAAAATGAAGTCAGACACAATCCCTGCACACTGGAAATCCACCATCCCAGGAACAAGACTGGAGGCTTTTTTTTTTTTTAATGATGAATGAACACACAAGCTTCAGAAATAAGGTAGGGAAATGCAGGCTTTGATTCAGGCAATGGCCATGATGTGGGATACAGAGTGCAGTTAAGAGAGACATCACAGGGAACTGATTTTTGAGAAAGGTTTTGAACAAAGAGTAAGCATTCTGCTAACAAGCAACAATGCGTGTGGCTGTGCAATGGTATGGTGGTGTCATGTAGCATGGTGTGCTGAACTGAAAATCGCCATAGCACGGGGCTTAAAAGGATTACATGGCAGAAGAGGCCAGAGCCAGGCATAGGAGCCAGGAGGTGAAGGACATTGTGAGTCACGGAAGGACCTTGTAATGAAGCTGAGGTCTTACCTGTGGAATGACATGATCAGATTGTTTTCAAATCCGTTAGCTCTTCCTCCCTGGTGGTCTCCATGGCAGATGGATTGGAGGAGCCAGGGATGAAGGAGAAGGAGGAATCAGAGGCTGCCTCAGTGGAGACTGGGACTTGAAGAGCCCAGCAGAGAGGTGAACTGTGAGGAGGTGGAAAGCAGCTGCTGTGGGGCCTTATGGTCAAGGAGCTTGTGGGTCAGCTGGAGCCTGTGTGAGTCTGTTAGCACCATTGGAAGAAAGTGCCACAGACTGCTGGCTTCAGTGATAGTAATGTATTTTCTGACAGTTCTGCAGGCTCAAAGGAAGAGGTTAGGTGACAGTGGGGTTCCAGGGAGGTCAGAAGAAAATTTTGTGGAGTCTCCTGTCTCCTACCACCTTTTCATGGGTTCTGAGACTGAACCCAGTTCCTCAGGCTTACACAGTAAGTGCTTTTATTTGTTGAGCCATCTCCCTGGTTCATGAATGAGAACTTGATTAGTCTCTACTAATATATGGTGGTTTGCTGGCAATCTGTGGCATCCCTCGGTCTGTAGATACAGCATTTTGATCTCCACTTTCAAGTGCACACAGCCTCCCGCCTGGTGTGTGCGTCTCTGTCCAAACTTACTCCTTTTTCAAAGAGCCCCAGCCATATTGGATCAGAGGCCCTTGGGGTTCCAATATGCAACCACCTCAGTTGATTGTATCTGTAGACTGAAGGTCCAGTTCAATAACAGAGTGCTTGCCTAGCATGCATGAAGTCCCCAGTCCATTCTTAGTACAGCCAAAAACAAGACAGGGGAGGGTGGCACCTGTGTAGTAATTCTTTTGCCTCGCTGTGACAAAATGCCCAACAGAAAAAACCAATATCCAAACGCTTTCTTTTGGCTTGTGGCTTTGAAGGGCCTCGGTACATCACTATGAAAACAGCATGGCGGAATTCATGGTGTCAAAAGTGTGTGGTGGCTTCAGACAAGGAAGTAGGGCTAAGCTATAACCCTAAAAAGCCCTCCCCTAGCAACCTACTTCCTCCAGCTAGACTCCACCTCCTAACAGGTCCCACAGCCTCCCAAAACATCATCCCTAGTTGGTGACAAGCGCTCAAAATGCAAGCCTGTGGGGGACATTTCATGTTCGAACCATAACCACCGGAAAAGATCCTACCTCCAGGGATGCAGATACTCACCACAGCATCTCCCAGCAAGTACGTGCAATATGTTCGTGATGTTGAACCCCTAGAGTGTGAGAGGGAAAAGAATTCTGTTCCAAATTCATGCGCAGTGGCTTTCGGAGAAAGGGACGACACTGTTTTGTTCCGGATTGCACTCTCTGAGTTCTCAACCCTGGGCTCTCTCTGCAGATATTTGTAGCCTGCCAAAAGACCCTGGCTACTGTTTGGCTTATTTCCCCCGTTGGTGGTATAATAAGGAGAACAGCACGTGCCAACTCTTCATCTATGGTGGTTGTCAGGGAAACAACAACAACTTCCAGTCCCAAAGAATATGCCAGAATGTCTGCAAAAAGAGAAGTGAGTCTTGGGGGCCCCATCTAAAATCCTCACCAGAGCTGTCCTGGGAGGTGTGGGTGTGGGCTGGCCTGTCCTTCTCAGACCTGACGTAACTGATCTGATCAGGAGCGGTGGTGGGGCTGGGGTGGGGGGCCGAGACTGTGGCCCTCTGGAAACTGAAGATGGAAAGGCATGGGGGAGTTAGCAAACAAGAAGGGATTTAGGAGGGGTGAAGGGGAATGGAGAAGGGTCCCAAAGATCAACTGCAAAGTGACCAGCGTGTCCAGCCCCACCTGGGCACGCTGACCAGGGAAAACCGTCCCAGGCCATCGACTTCGTCTTCACTTTCTTCTGCTGGCAATCCGACTCTGTCCATCTTTCCTTGAAAGAACAAACTGAGCTGGGCTGTGGTGGTGGCGCACGCCTTTAATCCCAGCACTCGGGAGGCAGAGGCAGGCAGATCTCTGTGAGTTCGAGGCCAGCCTGGTCTACAGAGTGAGATCCAGGAAAGGTGCAAAGCTACACAGAGAAACCCTGTCTTGAAAAACTAAAAAACAAACAAACAAACAAACAAAACTGACTTTTGTTTTAATATTCTTTTGAGTGGGCATACAAAATAACAAATTTCATTGTATTTTCATCCCTAGATGCTTGCTCACACCCAACCAACTCCCATCAACAAAATCTGCTTTTAATCTCCTCTCATGAAAAGATGTGGAGACATAACTCAGGCTCCAGAGGTAAACTGAACCCAATATTCTCAGCTTTAGCTTGTATCTGTGTTCTCAACAGGATCTTCCACCTGAACAGAGGACATGCTGGGAAAACCATGAGGATTTGGCTTCTGCTCCAAGCTCTGAGTACCCGCTGGATCCTCCAGAATGGCTTCTGGTCACTGCTCTGAGCACCCCAAGGCCTTAGGTCTTCCCAACACTGAATCCCAGGATGCCTTCCCTCGAACCACGTCCAGTTCCTGGTCACAACCTTCCTCTTAGGACCCCGTCACTAACAATGCCTTGTCTGCTCAGTCCCACTGCCAAGGGCTCGCTGTTCCTTTCCACATGCTCTCAACTTTTTTCAGTAAAGGATTTGGCTTCACCCTGTGCCTCTGAGACTGGGTAATTCACACATCTTCAGTGTGGGGAGAGTGAGGCGGTGGTGAGGCTTCTGTGGCATCACTCAAGGGCATGTGGACGCCACATCCTTGACAACTGGGAAGTTCAGGGACTTTTTTTTCTCTCTCCTCTGTCTAAGGCTTGTGGATAATGCCTTGGTTTGTATGTCACAGAAACTGACTCTGGGACAAGGGAAGGGGTTAAGTGGCTTCCTTTGGGAAATTCTCCTAATACAAGATGGGGACTGTGGCAAGTGATTCACCGGGAGAGGAGATGCAGGCTGTAGCAGGGACTGTTGCTGCTGTACCTCGACATACTTGATTTCCACCCAACAACCTGCAACAGCAAGAATGAGTTTCAGAGCACACTTTTGTTTTTGTTTTTTCAATCTAATTTGTTTTAATTGCAGTGACTTTTTTTTAGTTAGTTTCTGCTGGGAAATTGTAACATACTCCCACTAATTATATTTTAGAGAGTCATATGAACCAACAAAACATGCCTCCAAATTTTCTTCATCTATCTCCAGTGACAGGGAAGCGGAGATACTGGTCCAGTGTTTCCCATGGCCCCTTGGATGCCCGAGATATTAAACCTTTCATGCACATCCCGGAATGTTCCACACTCAAACTGAGTAGGCTCCAAGGGCCAAAAAAAAAAAAAAAAAAAGTGGGGCAGAAAGTAAAGGGAAACTTTGGAACGTGACAGGAGGCAATTCCACCACAAGCACTGAAAACCAATACAGAGTTCTGTCATGGATGAGCGTACATGGGTGACTGGGGACACAGCTAAGGGAGTAAAGAGCTTGCCACACAGGCGTGAGGACCTGAATTCAAATCCCCAGAACCCATATAAGGCCAGGCAGGGTAGCACATACCTGTAATTATAGCACTTCTTTTTTTTTTTTTTTTGGTTTTTTGAGACAGGGTTTCTCTGTGTAGCTTTGTGCTTTTCCTGGAACTCACTTGGTAGCCCAGGCTGGCCTCGAACTCACAGAGATCTGCTTGGCTCTGCCTCCCGAGTGCTGGGATTAAAGGTGTGCGCCACCACCACCTGGCAATTACAGCGCTTCTATTGGGATGAACAGAAAAGACAGAAGAATTCCAGAAGCGTGTGGGCTAGCTAGCCTGGAGGATACGAAGAGTGGCAGGGGGCTGGGCAGGGTGACAAAGAGACCCTGCATCAAACAAGGTAGAAGAGGAAATCCCACATCAGAGATTGTCCTCTGACCTCCACACATGGGTCATGGAAACCTCAGCGCGCGCACACAGACACACACACACACACACACACACACACACACACACACACACACTGAACTGTATACATTCCATTGACAAGCAGTATCTAGAACAGGAGTCGGACATGATGGTTCAGGCCTGTATTCACAGGTACTTGGGGAGCAAAGGCGTATTACAGGTTCAAGACCTGCCTGGGCAAGTTACTGAAACCCTGTGTAATTCTTTCTAAAAAAGAAAAAAGAAGGCTAGGACTGTAGCTCAGAGGTAGAGCATTTGTTTGTGTGAGGCCCTGGGCTGAAAACCCACCACAGGCAAAGAAAAGACAGCAGGAAAATCTGTAAGATGGGAAGCAGTCTCGAGGGCTGGAGCGGACTGGAGGCTTGAGAGTGATTGCTCACGAAACGGAGTTTACAGTTGGAGTGATAAAAACATTTTGGAACCAGTAAACATGACCCACAATCATATACATATACTAAGAAAAGAAGAAGATGGGTTCCATATTGTTGACCTAAAAATGGCCGCTTTCACCTAGAGGAATTCTACCACAGTTTTTCGAAACACAAGCCATGGAAATGTCTCTTGCAGTTTCAGATGACGTCTTAGGTGAGTCAAGTGTTTCCGGCTGCAGCCAGCCGTCCCTGCCTCCGTCTCCTCTTGCATTGCTCGCGTGGGTCCGCACTGCATCCACTCCCTCACTAATGCTCCAAGATTTGAGTTGAGGGAATGTTCCAGAACCATGGGAGAGCCACTTGGCCCCTCCTGCAGCTGACTCTGAGCCCTTGCTTCCCGCGGCCTCTGTAACCTGCTCTTGTGACAGAGGCTCTCGGGCCACTGCTTTCCTGTCTTTGAGATGTCACCACCTGTCCAGATGCTCACAAGGAACCTTAGGTTCGTGCCCACCTGAAGGTCTTTGCTCTTGACTGGTGACAAAAGGAGATGAGTGGACAAGACAAGAGAGAAAAAGCAAAGGGAGCTGGAGGAGGGTAGGGGACAGAGACTCGGCGGAGTCGCTGAAAAGGAGAAAAAGGAGGCACAGGGTAAACACAGATAATAGTCCAGAGATGAGGACAAGGCACAGCCAAGGCAGGATGCAGCTGATTGGTCTAGTGTTTACCCAGCATGCCTGAAGCCCCCATGCCCACTCCAGCCCCAGGTGAGCCCGGTGAGGCGATGCAGGTCTGTAATCCCAGCACTGGGAGGTGGATGCAGAAGGAGCAGAAGTCTCCCACTCCATAGCAAGTTTGAGACCAGCCTGGGATAGATGGGATCCTGTTTCAAAAGGAGAGAGGAGAGAGGAGAGAGGGAGAGAGGGGTAAGGATGGAAGGAAGGAAAGAAGAGACAAAGGGAGGAAAGAGGGGAAAGGTCGAAGGAGAGAAACAGAAAAATAAGATGAGAATTTGGCATGTAGGAGAAAAGTGAAATCCTAAAGACAACGGACTAGGGTACTGTCTGTGGTGATGATCTTGGTTGTCAACTAGACACAGCTGGGAACGGGTAACCTCAGTGGAAGACTTGTCTCCTTCAGATTAGCTTACGGACACGCCTACGGGGAATTTTCTGGATTTCGGATGGTGGGAGACCTAGAGCACTGTGCACAGTGCCACCACTGAATGGGTGACCCTCAGTTGTATAAGGAAAGTAACTGAGGAAACAACCGGTAAGCAGTGTCCTCCATGGTCTCTGCTTCAGTTTCCATCCCCCAGCGTCCTACCTTGGCTTCCTTCCATAATGGACTGTAACCTGTGAGCAAAAATAAACCCTTTCCTCCCTAAGCTGCTTTTAGTCTGTGTTAATCTCAGCAACAGAAAAGCAGTCTAGGAAACTCCCAATCTCCAATCTCCCTCCCCTAGGGAGGTTCTAGAATTCACATAACTTTAAAAAGAGATTCTAAAAGACTCCAAGCAAGTGCACCCCTCTCCCTAGTAAACCAGAGAGCCACAGAACCTCAGCTTGCAGTGGCCCAGGCCAGAGAGTCAGAGATCTTTCCTCTACAGCATGCACTGTGGGTACAGCCAGGCCACTGATGGCCTCCGGGAGGGAACATGACTGGCTCGTGTCCAGAGTTGCTTCCTGGACTGTTGGGGCACAGAGACACAGAGCCACAGAGCAAGGGCCGGAGCCACTGACCAGCTCCTCCTGCTTTAACACCTCCAGCCAGGCTACTGCTCCCTAAAATGAGACTCTGGGGACTTCTGACATTCCTGGTCGCTTTCATCTTCCTGTGGGGCATCTGGGAACAACCTGAGCTGGCAGAGGGGTTCTTAATGAGTAAGTACAGGGGTGTAGTTCTTAGCACCTGTTCTTAGAAACTGGGGTTAAACAGCAAGACACACTGCAGATGAGAGTGTGTCCCTGGGTGGGAGTGAGATGTTTGGGATCACTGTTTCCCACCATCTTGGAAAGATGCCCTGGGTGAACACAGGGTGCTGGGTCTGTGGTAGTTGACTCTCCACCATAATAAGGAATTCTTCCTGGAGGTACTGGGACTAGTGTACATTAAATGGACACTGGGGATTAAACAGCCCGAGGGATTTCCACTGAAGGATGAGCCTCTCCCTAGCACCACCCCATCAGCCTCCTCACCTGCCCACTGCAGCTCCCCAAAGCTTTCCTGTATCCACACAGGACCTTACCTGTGTGTTAAAGAACAGCCTCCAGGGTCCCTTTGAATGGTGATGCATGGGGATTTCATCCTTGCCAGGTGAAACACGTTGAGCACTTGAAGGTAGTGGGGCAAGTGAGTGCTTAGGAGGCCCCGTGACAGGTACAAATTCTGGGTCTACTCCTTGGTGACCTGTGTGAGCCTATACAAGTCCACAGAGCCTCCCCACACTCTGGATGCCTCTGTTCACTGTGTGGAACACTGATAGGACTTACTCGGAACTGTACAGTGAGGAGCAGGGGGAAGGCCAAGTGCTCCGTAAGTCCTCCATTAGTATCAGTCACTGTTCTTTTAGCCCAGGCATCTTGACCAAGGCTTTTCAAACTCTGTTCCAGTAGCCTTCAGGACAACAATCTTGGCAAACAGTGAGAGCTACAGGGGCCAACCAAGGACAAAGCCAAAGGATCAGAACAGTCCCAAAGGAGCGAGTCCCTCTCTGGGGGATCCTGAAGGGGGTGGAGAGAGGGCTAGGGAAGGTCCCAGGGATTGGGAGCTGAGTCATCACAGGTGGAGATGAGGCCAGTGCTGGGGAAACCCTGAGTCCCTGAGGTTACTTCCTCCCATGACAGTTGAGGGGCAAACACGCTTCCTCAGCTCTGCAGTGGTGCCTGGAACTGGGAAGAATGTATCTCCTTCAACACCTCAAGGGACCACCCCTTCTCCTCCTATAGAATCATGCCCAAGAGTCAGAATAAAGTGTGAAGTTGAGGAAAGAAACGAGTGTACGAGGCACCGACACTGTCCAGACCAGAAGAGATGCTGCCTATTCAGCTGTGGAAAGAAATGCTTAGACCTCGGAGAAGGTACCACTTTGACCCCCTGAGCTGCCCCCAGCCTCCTGCTTCCACGTTGCACCACCCTCTGTGAAGGCTACTGTTCACTAAGATCCCATGGCATCTTCTACATGATGCAGATCTTGTATGTGCTGGCCCGGGAGACCTCTCTTGTAACAGTTTGTCTATTTGAGTAAATGATGTGGCTGAGGTTCTTTTTCCTTTCTGAACCTCATTTTTCCTTCTTAAGATAGATGTGGGTGTAGATGTAACCAACCTTCTTATTAAATAAGAAACACAGAACCGATGCAAAGAAGAAAGCCAAGAGGTCAGAGCTAAGAGCTAAAACCTTACCCTTCCTCCTGCGGTGGTCCTACCTCTCCGAACCAGAGCTACCCCTGTGTTAAAGTCTTTATATAGAGTTCCTGTTCTGCCTTATCATTGGTTGTAAACCCAACCACATGGCCGCCTCCTCACAGCCTGTTTGTATAGACCTCCAGGTTTTCCATGATTGGTATTGAGATTAAAGGCATGTGTATCCAATACTGGCTGTATCCCTGAACACACAGAGACTTACCCAGCTCTGCCTACCAAGTGCTGGAATTACAAGCGTACGCCACCACTGCCCTGCTTTCCTATGGCTTGCTAATAGCTCTGACCCCCAGGCAACTTTATTTATTAACCTACAAATAACATTTTAATACAAATAATATATCACCATATGTGGGCACTGGCTCATGTGATCCCCTTGACCACTCTCGGGTGCTGTTCTGAGATGCCAAGTAGCTAGCAAAGTCTCAGCAAACAGCAATGCCATATCTGGTTGCAGGATAAGCATGAGGCAGGTGTCCTGCGATTCCTGGCTTGTTTGTCCAGCCTCAGACTGACATAAACCCAGGATACCCTTCTTCATTGCTGTAGCCTTCCGTACTCTTTCCTCTCTGCTCATATCCTTGAGCTCTACAAAAGGCCATCAAAACTATCCACCCATTTTATCAATCAACAAATATTTATGGGTGCTCGTGGCACCCACGATGGACTCCACCTGCTCACTGTGGCCACGAAAGCTTTTCCTGGGAAAGGCATATAGGACTTGGAATCTGAAGGATGGGTATGCAGGCAAAGACAGCGGGGAGCAGCCTTCCAGACACCAGCAAGTGCTCACGGGAAGGCCCTGTGTCAGGTGACACGTGACCAGGCCTGGAAACGCTGGCAAGTGAAGAAGGTGAAGCTGGAGGAGGGAGGGCGCCCAGAGGTCTGGACTTGATCCTCCCTGTGGTCCTAACCCCTGACTGTGCTCTGCGTGGGTGCTGGTTGCTGAGTCAGGGAATCGCTGGTAGGCCAGGTTGACCTCGACCTTGACATCCTCCTGCCTCAGCCTTCTGATGTCTGGGGTTCTAAGCGTGCACCACCACACCTGGTGGGTTGTCTACGTTTAACTCCCTCACCAGCTGTGTGACATCAGGAGAGTCACTTCACCTCTGCAAGTCTCCTGTCCCTACCTGCACAGTGAGAACAGTAGGAGGGTGGCCACACAAGAGGAGATGCTAACGGGTGTCAAATGCTAAACCCAGGGCAACGCTTTAACAGCAAAGTTGTGTGGCTGTGACGGTAGTTTACAGTGGGGAAATCGGCTGTTCAGTAAATGCTTAAGTTTGGGATCTTCCTTCCTTGCTTCCCTCCCTCCCTTCTTCTTCTTCTTCTTCTTCTTCTTCTTCTTCTTCTTCTTCTTCTTCTTCTTCTTCTTCTTCTTCTTCTTCTTCTTTCTCTCTCTCTCTCTTTCTCTCTCTCTCTTCCTCCCCCTCTCCCTTTCTTTCTCTTTCTTTCTTTCTTTCTTTCTTTCTTTCTTTCTTTCTTTCTCTCTTTCCTTCTTTCCTTCCTTCTGAGGATATTCCTGAAATATCGGTTCTTTGCCAAATTATCTGCTCAGAACTGCTGTTCCAAGCTAAGGCACAGCCATTGCCCATGAAGAGCTCATGTTCTCCAGCACTCAGAAAATATGGATAAAGTCATGATAAATCTTCATCACAGACATAAAACAGATGCATGAACATCAAGGGCTAAAGAGTAGACCCTGGAGACATCAGAAAGGCATTGATGCCTGGAAGTGTTTCGATATTGGAGACAGGGTCTTCTGTATAGCACAGGGCAGCCTTGAAATCACTGCAATCCCAGCTTCCTTGCCTCAGCTTCCCAAGTGCTAGGATGTCAAGCAAATGCCATCATACCTGGCTAGTGGAAGGGTTTTGAAGAATGAATAGGAGTGTGCCTTGTTAGGAAGAGCAGCTCGAGGTTGAGCCCGTGTGAAGGCATGCAGATGGGAGAACAGGGTGACTTCCAAGCATGAGTTTGAAAGGATGAGTGTAGGAGCAGCGAAAGAGAGAAGCTGTGGAGAGAGAAGACATGGACTTTCAGGCTGGGAGGTAACTTTGTCCTGAGCTAGTGGATCACTTACTCTGGAACCTGATGTCCAGTAGACTGGAGATGTTTGAACTTAGATGGTGGCCATTCCTGGCAGAGAAGAAAGAAAGGAGGTCAATTTATGAGGCAAAATCATCAAGAAGTCATTGTTCAGATGCTGCAGAGAGACAGTGAAAGAGCTGTGTGCCATGGCTGCATCTGTTCCTGTGACGGTCCTGTCCCGACAAGCAAAGTGGTACTCTGTGTTGTCATCCTGCCGATGAGGAAGCCAGGACCAAAGAGGCTGAAGTGGGTGGTCAGAGCTCCCACTGACCTGGAAGCACAGCTCTGAGCTGGACACGGAGCAGTGGAGAGAGGAAAGGGATGGGACTGTCCCCTAGGAGACAGGCATCCAAATATCTGTCTCCCATGCTTTCCCCACAGATATATGCAGCCTGCCACCGGATCCGGGCCCCTGCTTGGCTTACTTTCCACGCTGGTGGTATAATAAAGAAACTGAGCTCTGTACCGAATTCATCTATGGTGGTTGCCAAGGGAACCCGAATAACTTCCAGACTGAAGGTATCTGTAATGTTGTCTGCAAAATGAAACGTAAGTGTTAAAGGTCCCCAACATGCATCTTTACCAAGTCTAAACAGCTATCTAAGTATCAATCCTTTCCAAGACCTTAGCAGTCCTGGGGGTGTAAAGGGAAGAACCTGGGGAAGAGAGGAGGAGGGAGACGGTCGCTAAAGGGAAGGACCTGGGGAAGAGAGGAGGAGGGAGGTGGTCGGCAAGGGGAAGCCTGCGAGTCTGAGGTGAGTCGTGGGAATAGAAAGGACACAGGAGCGGGGAGCTCCCGGACCAACTCAGAGGAGCAGCATGTGAGCTACCATGGTCACCACCCTGGAACAACAGGTCTAAAGTGGAAAATCAGGAGTGATGGGTCACTCTGAGCACAGCACTCACATCACCTCTGGTTTCCCTGCTGGCCCGAGGATGTGAAAATGATCCCATACCTTTCCATTAGCTGAAAGATCTGCTTCCCAAGGTGACTGCAGCTAAGCATCCCCATCCTTACCCTTGTGTCTTGCAGGCATATATTCCTGGATGTGATAAGGTTGAGCTGGAAGAAGCTCCAGGTCTTGGCTCCTAATCCGAGACTTTCTTCTGTGATCCCAGCAGATGCTCTGGATTGGCTGACACTGGCCAAGTCTTAGCCACTAAGACTTTGGCTGTTCCCAAAGCAGAACCCCAGAACTTGCTTATTCCCTTCCCCCACCCCAGCTTCTCTTCAGACGTAATCCCTTTCATCCTTTGACCCCTTCTCAGTGTAAGACCCAATCACCTCTTCTTTCAGTGTTCTCATTCATTCCTTTGAAGGCTCTAGTTCTTCCTAATAAAGGATCCTGTAAATTCTGATGTCTCAGAGTCTGAATAACTCATCTGCTGTCTGCAGGTGAACATCTGTTCTCAGGCCTCTTTATGATAATGCCCTCATTCATTCACGGCCCTCTGTATGCAGATGTTCACATCTGTTTACATTCCTCTGTGTGCTAATATCCCCATCTGTTTACATCTTTCTGTATGCAACTGTCCCCATCTGTTGACAATCCTCTATAAGCAGTGTTCACATCTGTCCACAGTCATCTGTATTCAGATGTTCAATTTGTTCACAGGCTTCTATATGCAGATACCACATCTGTCCACAGCTCTCTGTATGCACGTTTGCATGTTACCATATAGAGACAAAACTCTAAGGATCACACACACACACACACACACACACACACACACACACACACACACACTGTTACATAAATCCATTTAAGTTTCAGGGTAAAAAAAATCAATAATCAAAAATCTGTGGTGCTTCTATATACCAATAAAGTTACACAGGAGGAAAACTTAGAAAACAATCATATTTGCATAGGTAACAGCAAAACAAAAACAAAGTTCTTCAAATCATCCAAAGGGCAAAAGTTGTGTGCACCAAAAGTCATGAAGCATTGATGAAGAAAATTTAAAAAAAAAAAACAAACAAACACAGATATGTGAAAAACTATCTTGGGTTCATAAATAAAAAGAATTTATATTGCCAAAATGTCCAGACTACTTCCAACCTGCTGTGGAATATTCCTTCACACTGTGTGAAGAAGTGTCACTGTGATTGGTTTAATAAAAAGCTAGACAGGACTTCTGAACAGAGAGAACTCTGGGAAGAAGAAGGCAGAGTTGCCAGTCCGATGTGGAATAACCAGGATGGGCATAATGAAGACGAGGTAACAAGCGCATGGGAGAATGTAGAGTTAAAAATATGGGTTAATTTAAGAGCTGGTTAGAAACAAGCCTAAGCTAAGGCTGAACTTTCATAATTAATAATAAGTCTGTGCCATTTTTTGTGAGTATTGGCCCCAAAATAAATGTCCGTCTACATCAATCATCTATACATTCCATAGAACAAAAGCATTTTAACAGAAAAAAGAATAAGAAGGCCCAAATTTAAATCTCATTGTTGCCCTTAGCAACACCCTAGTGCATCCTATTGTACACCCTAACTGGGACAGTAGGGTGTCCAGGGCCTGTTTCCTGCCATCATGGGAACGTGAATGATTGATGATATCAAACAGCACTTTCCATTTCTGAGAAT